TCTTGGTAAGAAAGAAGAAGAACAAGGAAGAAAAAGAAGGAGGAATAAGAAAGAAGAATGAATGAGGATGAATAAGAAAGAAGAAGAACAAGGAAGAAGAAGAAGAAGGAGGAGGAAGAAGAAGAACGAGGAAGAAGAAAATGTCGTAAAAAGTAGTCATTAGGGTATTCTAGTAATTTTATACAGAAATATATCACTCTATGAATAAAAAATCGTATTGCAGGCGCGTGCTATACAACCTCCGTTAAATCCTAACGGAGTGAGGAATATTTGCAAGATTCTTTACTATGGAAATAAATTGTTTAAAAATATTCAAATTATTTTTAAATATATTATGATTTGAATCATTAATCAAATATGTAAACAATTTGAAATATAGCCTCAAGTCCAGTCATCTACATATATATAAGTCCAAAAAAAAGTCCCAAAAGAGGATAAAAAAAAAAGAAAAAAAGAAAGAAAGAGACAATCGGACTTGTTAAAAAAAGATCTGACAAAAAAAAAAGGCTAAAAAAAATTTGATAGTCATAAAAAAAAATTAGTAAAAAAAAAAAAAAAATTTAATATTTCAAAATTTATTCAGGCGTCAAACACGTCAATTTAAACAAACTTAAACGCACAATTTTGTAGATATATATCAATAAAGTATCTATGCTTTAAATATTATGTATATTGAAAGGCATTCTATATACTCCATCTGTCTCAAAACTGTATATCTAAAAACTATAAACTTAATTGGGTTGAACACGAGATTTAAAGAATATTGATATTATATTAGTAGTTGGTAAAAAATATGAATAAAAGACTTTTTGTTATTGTGAGTGTATTAGTATAAAAAGTAGTGACAATTGTGTAATAAAAATAAAAAAGTAGGAATAGTTTTACGGTGATATAGTTATTTATAAAAATAAAACTATTATTTTGTGACGGACAAAAATAGTAAACAAAACTATTGTACGAGGGAGAGCTATGGGAGAGAGCTAGGAAGTATATAAGAAAATATTGATACATAATAACGGTGAATTTGGTTTTTAGTACAAACCTAAACAACCACTATTCAATTCCTATAATTTTTTTTATAAAAATATAATAATAATTATCATAAAATATTATATTATATATATATATATATTTGTCAAACATAATTATGTCTTTTTCTATATATATATATATAAATAAAGTAGTATAATATACTGGATGAAAAGAGCAATGGAGTATTTAAATTAACTAAAATATAAAACTAAGAAAAAAATATTTTGAATATAATAATCTATATAATTTTTTTTTTTCTATATAATTCTTTTTTATGAGTAATTTTATTTTTTATTTTTATAGGTACTAAATGAACTTATGACGAGGCTTCGACTATCCACTAATACACTTTCAAATATTATTATTTTAGAAATAATTATTTATGTTAATAAATGTTATCGTGGAGTGTGATTAACCTTAAATATTTATTTACGATATATAGCAAGTTGATGATACCACTATTGTCTCAATCAATACTAATAATGGTCCATAAATATGATCTATTATTATTATTATTATTATTATTATTATTATTATTATTATTATTATTATCATTATTTGATATAGTTGAAATTTACAGTTTAATAAATTAAGTCAGTTTTAAATTTATAATTTCGCAAGTTCATTCTTTCATCTGCTAGATTATCACTTGCGGATATATTATTATTATTATTTCTTTTAAAAAATTAATAATTAAAATGGTAATATATATAATTCAATTAAAAAAAACATATAGTACATGATTAAAAAAAATAATAAAAAATTTATTTATAATATATAGATGTGTGTGGGTGTGGACTTTAGTATATGTTGTACAAGGTTTTGTATTTGGACGAGAATTGGCCACGTCTCTCATTACATCCAAACTATAAAATAATTGACAAGAATTTGTAGTCCATCCAACTTGTCTTTCATCGTCTCCCACTTGCACAACATACTCTATAAAATAATTCCTAGTTTTTGTTTCACAATATATACTCACTCTCTTACTTTCGTAACAAAGTATTAATTTTTTTATTTTAGTTCGTTCTATAATAAAATATTATTTTTTTAGTAATTGTACTATTTATCTAATATTACAAATATCCTTACAACTTATAATATATTACACAAATATCATTATATTTATATCACACGTATAAATAAAGTTATTTTAGTCATTTCTACTTTATTTCTACTATATCTCAATATAATACTAATATTTTTAAAATTATGTATAAAAAACAAATAGATATTTACTTATGGGACGGAAGGAATATTTATTTTTAAATGATACTATAATTTTTTTTTAATAGGTATATATAAATCGTGTTGATAAATAATCTAAATGCGAAGCAAAGAAGGAAAAAACAAATTACAAATATTTTAAAATTAAAATAATAGCAACTAAATTAGGTCAGAGTTAATATATATATATATATATATATTTAAGGTAGATCGTATCTTTCGATATAGCATAAACATATAATTGTATTATATAGACGTATGTATTTTTATATTTGTATTATATTTTATAAATATATTTCTTGTATTAAAATAAACAGTATATACTACTATTTATGTCCGGTTTTAACGATCTCATTTACTTTTTGCATGTTGATATTTGAATATTAATTATTATATTAAAATATAGTACAAATTAAGAAAAAAATTGCAAAAATGCTTCCATTAATGTCTTATCATACGAATATAAGGACATTTGTAAAAAAAAAATAAAAAATTATACAGATATAAAAATATTTTTAATTTTAAATATAATGACACAAAATATAAATATGATCATTAACTAATGAATGGAGGTTTTCACAACATCAATATATATATATATGTGTGTAAAATTATATTATCTGATTGCCTTGATCATATGTTTTTCATCGGGATCAAATTAAGTCAGCACTGTATTGATTTGACCTAATATCACTCTAATAGATTGATTGTATAAATAATAAAAATATTTTATATAAATTTAAAAAATTTAAATATGATTATTTTTAAGAAAAATATTCCATTCTTCTATTAAAGTTATGATTATTTTTCATTTAAGTTTGTCCATTAAAGTTATGCTTGTACCACTTAAATTTATTTATTAAATTTTAAATACGTGGTACAATTTTGTCATTGTTGTTATATTACAAATAACTATCACTTAAACATATTTTAATTAATTTTTTAAAATATCTCATATAACTTTTATTTTAACTTTTACGTTAGTACACTTTTATTTTATTTTTTTTTACTCCAAGCACAACAAAAGAAACATATAAGAGCATTTTTTTAAAAAATGAATCATAAAAAATTTAATTTAAAAACATAATTACAAAGTGTAGTGTCACGGGCTATATTCCTGCCCCTGGTTCTCGGCCATAATCCGTTTCATGTGTGCGAGCCCATATACGGCCGACTAATGACCCATATCTTGGTGCAGGTACGTGTTTCGCATAATTCTCTCATGGTATATCCCAGACGTGTTGGCACAGGAGACGGCTGATTTAGGCCTCAGCGCGGGCCTGGCCCAAGCGCCGAACGTGTCAGCTTCCAGACTAATTTTTTTTTTTTTTTTTGAGTTTGAATTTTTTCTATTACTTATATTTTATTTAAACAATATTTTAATATAATATTTTATAAAACTAATATATTTATTGAAAATAGTACAAATTGAAGATATAATCTTTTATTTGAAATACAAACCTATCGGGCCTTAAATTTTACACATGAAAGGAGCCCAAAGTGTAGGAGGCCTAAACTTGGCCCACTCTAAAAGTACCACAATGTTTTAGTTTTTTTATTAATTAATGATTAAAATTTATTTCATTCAAATAACACTGTAATATTCAAAAATATTTTTTTTTTAATTTTTATTAACTAATAATAATATCATTTTTCATTATTTTAATTAAGGGGAAATACATTCTTCCTTAGAAGAATATTTTTCAGCATTTTTATAAAAATATCACTTGCTATAAATGATTTTCACTCAGAAAGTTCAAATATATTTGTTTAAATAAAAATTTTGAAAGTTTTCAAAATAGTAAAAATTTGACAATTAGATATGGCCTTTAAGAAGAAATAAAATACTCCTAAGTAGGTAAAGAGTAAAATAGAGATATTATAAAAAAATTATTAAAAAATTAATAATAAAGTAATAAAGTAAATAGAATAATAAGTACAAATTTATTATTTATTAAAATAAAAGTAATAAAATGATGTGTTAAAAAAATTGTTTATGAATTACGTGTAAATTTAATCGGACAACAACCAAAAAAAATGACATAAGGAATATTTGATATGATATTTAAAAATATATATATAAATATAAATAAGCAATGCTAATATTATTATTATTATTATTATTATTATTATTATATGCTTTTGTCTATTAGAGATATATCAATTAAATTGTTAACTGGGTTGGGTCCATCGAGAATTAGGTTTAATATGATAAATAAATCAAAATTACCATTAAAAAAAAAAAAAAACAAAGGTCAAACTCAATCAATTAAATCAAATTTTGGCCAAAATAATTAACTCTAACAAATATTTTTATTTGGATTAGAATAGGCCCCTATCAACCTACTAATGGGCTTTCATGGGCTAATATTAAGGCCCAATACTTAGATCAAAGTCGTGTTTGGTTGTATTATCATTTTTCTTCTTTTTAATATTTATTTACATTAAACTTATTTTATACATTTTCTTCACAAAATACCATATCAAACATCAATTATTGGTTTTATATATTTAACAATATTTAGTTTATATTTAAAATATAACATCACATCAAATATATAATTATATTATATCAAAAACAATTATTAACATTCAAATTTTTTTATTATTACCAAAAAAAACTCCAAAACAAGCAATGCTAATCTAAATTGATAATCAATGTATTTTTATTAAACTTTATTTCATTTATTTTATTTTATTTTCTTTTTAAAAAGTTGATAATTAAGAAGAGGCACGTCTCGTCATCTCATGGACTCCTGTAGAGCGTCGACATTGGCGCCAACCGCCACCGCCTTCTCTTTTATGGCGGCGGTGGAGAGATCCTTGAGGATGGCGTCGGAAAATAAATGATCCGGAAAGTTGAGCTTCGTCGTGAGATGGCATAGGTAGAACACGGCCGTGTTGTAGGCCCGTGTTTTCGCCACGGGTGTGTTGTAGGAGCTGAGCCAGATCCTGGACAGCTTATTGGGCTCCCGGATCTCTGCGACCCACTTCCCCCATTTCCGCATCCATATGCCATTATACGGCTTCTCGCTCCTCCGCCGCCTTCCGCCGTCCATCCCACCTGAAAAACTCTCTCAATTTCTTTCTCTCTGCAAAGTAATTAAGAGCATGTACAATGACTCTTAAGTTGATGGCTTTTTTCTCTGCACTAGATTTTTTTTCATCCAGCTAATAAAAAGAATGACACAATGGCTTAATTTTACAGGCCAGAAAATTGATGCAGCTTGGGCATGGCTCGGTGCAGAAGATGGTCTATTCAAGCCATGAGAGAAAAATGATATTTACCCAAAGTCATTGTGTATATGTTTATTTTTAAATGCTTGAATTAGAAAAAAGTTATTTATGAGACTCATTCCATGTAATAAATAAAAGCTATTTTTACCTCATACCATTGTATATACTCTAAGTCGAGCGATACAAATTGTGGAAGCAGGAGCTGAGCGTGAGACTTAACTGCCGGCGGTTATAGAGAGAGAAATGAGCAATGAGGAATGAAAGAGAGAAGACATGCACAACACCGACAAAGGCGCATGACAGGTCAGTATTTTTGGAAAGGTTTCCATATCAGCGAATGCAGTAATAAGAATAACGAATGCTATATATTATTGTCCAGTCACATTTGGCTGACCATATATTAATTATTACCACACCAAACTAAAGGAAAAGAATGCAAGCACGAGCATTCTTTATGGTGCTCGAGTATTTTATTCGACATGACACATATAAATTCACTCCATAAAATTTTTTATGTTAATTTAAAATTTGTACAAAATATTTTTTAAACTGGTATTTAATTTTAAATAGGGATATAAACATGCATCTTTTATACAAATAAAAGACGAAAGATATTTTTAAAAAATAGTTTTTAAGTAAATAAATAAATAAATAATCAATTAGAAGTATAATTAGTAAATAATTAAAATATATTCATAAATACTTACAAATTAAAATTTAGATAACTAATTAAATAGAAAAGTATTAAATTGCATAAAATAGTGTGAATAATTTACCACATATATACAAGTTTCACCTATAATACAAAAAACCAATCCGGCCATTAAAGGCCTAACACATGGAACGAATTTACAAATAACTTTCTTGTCTTTTTACTACAAACAGTTTTGTTGTCTTTCCCCACGACTGTTTCACCACCACTTTTTTCATCATGGTTATCGACTTATCGTCTTTTTTACAGCACAATCTGTTCGTCGGCGGAGTTTCTCTCCAACTCCATCAAAGTCTCCCTCGCACAAACTACGCCATTTAACTGTTGAGAGAATTCCAGATAAAGGAAAAAAATCACAAACAAAAAAAATAGTTGAGAACGTACTCCTTATGTGTGGTCACACCAAAAAAATGGACTAGAACGTAGTCCTTATGTGTGGTTACACTAGGGTTACAGTGATTGTACGTGGTCACACCTAAGCAGAATATACTCAACTGCCCAACGAACTTTTTCACCAAAATTTGACTATTTCTTTGACTAATTTATGAAGTATGGTAAACATCAATAAACAACAAAAATAATAAAGTGAGACTCAAAATTTTAACGTAAAAAAAAAAATTAAAATGAAGAATAAAAACAACAAGACCTATCACCCGACCCAAGATAACAAATCCACTATATCAAAGTGTTTGTACAATTCAAGATAACCAAAACAAAAAAAAAATGATATTAAATTCCACACCCAAATACAAAAATCAAATTCCAACGGTAAAAAGATCCTCTAACTACAAACAACTCATTCCAAATCACCAACAAAAAAAATTCATAATCGAATCCAAACAGGTAAATAGTGAGAAATCAACGATACCAACCAACAAGATCCAAAATGATGATGAGACTGTCAATCAGGACTGAGTTGAAGAAATTCTCTCTTGCTTGTTGATTCTTTCGAGTGTGTGGGTAACAATTGTCACTCTCTCAACCTCTACCCCCAAAAATTGACCGTCCTTCCAACCATGAAGGTTAGGGCAATAATTGGCAAAAATTGAGCTCTGAATTATTTTTGGCTAATATAAATTGTTGGGTCTCCTACACATAAAAGGAATCCAAACCCAATACTAACCTCCTTTCATCCGGCGTCCTTCTTAGTCTTTTTTTCTCGCTACTCTTCCTATTTTTCATCATCTCTGAAACCAGGCCAATGCCATGTAATGCACTCAAAAAATATAATCTCAGATATCGTCAATGATTCAATGATTCTAATGCTGACAGTGCATGTGTAGTGGTTGGACGTTACATGGAGCGTGAAACATCGTGCCTCTACTATTGGGCGCTCCTAGCGCTACAACAATGAGCTCAAAAAACACGGAATTCGCTGCGATCAATGATGGAACCTTCTAGTGTATTACCGACGAGGTTTACGTGTCGGAAGTTTTAAGTGAGTCGAACCTGGATAAATTGGCTGGAGACAAAGCTATAGGTCATGTTGGTAATTCCACCCCAGTACAGCCTTACATTGTCGGGTACCGTTTAGGAACCATCGGAATTACATTAAACGGTACTTCAATGAATTATTATGTGCCGAAAGCGGAGGCGGTTGATTTCTGTTTTTTTATCCATCGGTGTTGCATTCGACGGTAATTTAATGAATCATTAGGTGATGAAAATGGAGGCGGAGGAGAACAAAGTGGTTTTAATCACAAACTTATTCAACGGTTATTTTGATTAAAGACAAGTTGTTTGTTGTTCGTTACCCACATGATTTCAGACCATTATTGATGGGAAAATGAAGAAATAGAGACGTTGTTTTCGCTTCGGACACTTTCGTATTTGATATAATCGATGCGAGGTATGAACGAGAGGTTTTTTCGTAAACATTTTATGATAAATGAGGACATTATTGGATAATTGAGTTTGATGTCTCATAAGGAAAAAAACGGTGAATTTACGAACTTATATAATTTGCGAAGGTGAGTTCGAATGTGTTTGAGCAGATTAAATATGTCAAAATTGACAATACAGTCGCATGTGGATTGTAATTTGGTAATTTTGGCGCCTGATTCGGGAGACGAACATATTTTGCGTATTTAAAAAAATAGAAGAGTAATAAATGGTAAAAAATAGTGTAAAAAACATACCACATATATACAAATTTCACTTACAATACTAAAAATCTAACCAGGCCTTTCAAGGCCTAACGCATGGAAAGAATTTACAAATAACTTTGTTATCTTTTCACCACAAACAGTTTTGTTGTCTTTTTTTCACGACTGCTTCACTACCACTCTTTTCACCATGGTCACCGTCTTAATTACCGCACCATATGTTTGTCCGGTGGAATTTTTCTCCAACTCCATCAAAGTCTCCCTGCACAAACCACACCCTCTATTAGTCGGGAGAATATCAGATAAAGAAGAAAATTACAAACGAAAAAAATAGTTGAGAGCCTACTCGTTGTGTATGGTTATACAAAAAAAATATACCAGAACATAGTCTTTTGTGTGGACATACTAGGACTGCAGTGATTGTACTTGGTCATACCTAAACAGGATATACTCAGTTGTCCATCAAATGTTTTCACCAAAATTCGACTATTTCTTTCATCAATTTTTTAAGTATGATAAACATCAATAAATAACGAAAATAACAAAGTAAGACATCAAAATTTTAATGTGAAAAACACTTTTAAAATGAAGAATATAAACAACAAGGCCTATCACCCGACCGAAGATAACAAATCCACTATATCAAAGTATTTGTACAATTCAAGATAACTAAAACAAAAAATGCTATCAAATTTCACACCCACGTACAAAAATCAAACTTCAACAACAAGAGATCTCCAAACTACAAACAACCCATTCAAAATCACCAACAAAAAAAATTCAAAATTGAAACCAAACAAGAAAATAGTGAGAAATCAATAATATAAAAAAAAAACATCAAAAGGATGATAGGACCGTTGATTCGGACCGAGTTGAAGAAGTCCTCTCTTACTTGTCGATTATTTCGAGTGTGGGTAACAATTGTCACTCTCTCAATTTCCACCCCCAAAATTGACTGCACTCTCAACCATAAAGGCTAGGGCAACAATTGGTAAAAAATGGGCTCTCTATTATTTTTGGCTAACATGAATTGTTGGATCTCCTACACATAAGAGGAATATACAAACCTAATAGTAACCTCATTTCATATAACGTTGTCCTTAACCTCTATTTCTCTCCGTTTTTCCTATTCTCTATCATCTTCGAAATCAGGCCAAGGCCATGTAACTCTTTCGAAAAATTTAATCTTAGATGTCGTCAATGATTGTAATGCTGACAGCGCATGTGGAGTGGAAGGACTCTACGTGGAGCCGGAGGCATCGTGCCTTTACTATTGGGCGCTCCTAGCGCTATAGCCCCACGTTAAAAAAACACGGAGGTCGCTGCAATCAACGATTGAACCTTCTATTGCATTACCGGCGAGGGTTACTTGTCTGAAGTTTTGGATGAGTGGAACCTGGGTAAAATAGTTGGAGACAAAACTATAGATCATGTTGCTCATTCCACCCCAGTGCAGTCTTACATCGTCAGGTACCATTTAGGAATCATCGGAATAGCATTTGAATTATCGTGTGCTGAAAGCGGAGGCGGTTGGTTCCCGTTTCGGATCTATTGATGTTGAAGAGGAGACGAGGATGAGATAAGAATTTTTTCTCAATCAACGAAAGTTTGGGAAGGTGGCCGATGAAGGTGGAAGAAATCCTCAAAATTAGCCCTAATTTCATATGTATTTGAACTATTGTGAGTGCAGCGACTGAGAATGATTTTGAAAAAGATGATGATGACGACGAGATAAGAATTTTTTTTTAACGGCAATAATTCGGGAAGGTGACCGACGAAGGTGGAAGGCGAGGCAAAAAAAAATAAATGCGACTCGCTGGCGGGGAAGGTTGCAGGAATCTTTTTGCAAATTCTTCTAACTCTCACATTTTAGTTTTGCAAATTAAAAAATAAATATAAAACAAATCAATGGCCATGTGTCATATTCCTATTGGTTCGACTGGAAAATTGGATTAGATTGTTGATCGAAGATCCTATCATTTTTTTAAGTTTTTCAAACTGCATC